AACACAAAGAACTGGTGCTAAGTCAGGCACTGGAACCAGTTTGGTGGAGACGTGGTATAAGAGGAGTTTTAAAAAGATTCTGACACACTAGTCTGTCAGGTGGGACATCAACGGTTGGCTAAAACAACCGTACGCTGTATCCAGTGTCTATTTTTAGTCTCATTTCCATGATTCATGCTCTCTACAAACTGATATTCTAAGAGAGCTGAGAGTCGAGCTTCCTGCTGGATTTCCTAAATCATTGTAACCAGTGCTGGGCGATCTAACTGAAAAATGCAATCATTTACTCGTTGCATATTGTCCATTAAAAAGTAGATTTGAAGCAGTCCATCACACTTACTTGCACTGACTGACTTACTTACCAACGTGGCACAGCTTCGTTAAAGGCATGTTTAAACCTGAGTATTTCCTGCATGGAGGAATTTTTGGCATCTCCAAACAAGCTTTAACCAGCCCCAAAGGAAACTCAGCAAAATGATAAGAGGAAGCAATTCAGTTTTTTGACCAGTTTTGTCAGTTGGGGTTTCATTTATTCAAGCACAACGGGCTTATTTGTTCATCAAATGAATAAAAACAACTTTTGTCTTATATTGTTATGATGCTACGATGGTGGATGTTCATATTAAACGTGGCCAAAGTTTGAAATATTTAGACTTACTACATCAATGTAATCCCTATGAGGACAAAATTAATTCGTCACACTGCTGAATATTTGGTTTCCAACCATTTTTTTTCCTACTTTTGTGATAATTTGACATCAGTTCATCACAGATTTCTTTATACAGTCATCTACTACAGTTCACAATGACTGGGTGCTTACACTGAGCAGGCTTCCAGAAGTCGGCCAATCAGAGAGAAGTGTTCTTTTGGGGAGGGGATGGAGGGGTCTTAAAGAGACAGGCGCTAAAATGATTTCCGTCAGTCAGTGGATGAACTGAGGTGCTGCATAAAGGGTCCATTTTTGGTTTGTTTGTTGCTTTTTAAATGTGAATCATGCAATGCTAGTCGACTGATAAACTAGCACAACAGGCCCCCTTCAGGATACAGATTTGGAACTATACAGCAGGTGTAAAACTGGCCCGACCCAGTAGGATTTCTGTTATGGCTCAGGTAGAAATGGCTCTAGTGCAAGTGAATCGCCATCGAGTTTACGTCACGCTTCTATACAAAGGTTTCAGGCACTTTGGATGTTCAGATCTTTACACGCTGCAGTCGGGGACTCGTCTGATCAGAGTCGTGAAGAAGTAACTTCAGCGACAAGAAAAACAAGGATTCCTGCAGCAGATGGTCCGACTCCCACAGAGCACCACGGAGTCAGACTTGGATTACATGAAGAGACGGAATAAATCCACACAGATAAAACTGTAGCAGCTCCTCCAAGATGCTCAGAGCAACCAACCTGCCAAGTTCTGTGGAGAATTCTCCAGGATAAACATCAAGGATAAAACCAGAGAAAAATTGAGCTTTTGCAGCATTTTTGTATCATCTGAAATCTCGACTGACCCTTTTAACCCTTAACAGCTAAATGGAAGTTTATGGTCATTTTGAAGTCTTGTGTGTTTGCACAGGAACCCACCGGGCTGCATACCTCCTCAAGTATTTTTTATTAGCGTTCCAGAAAAATTGAAAATCTTAGAGAGGATGTTTGGTTTGTTAAATGTGGAGGAACAGGACGGAGAGAAGCGTCGGGAGGGCAGGAGGACGGGGCGGAAAAGGTTACACTGGGGCACAAAGGTAGATGAGGCAATTTGAATTGAAACGGGAGAACAAACGCAGAGCAAACAGAGAGAAGAAGGAGGAGGCTGGGAGTGGCTGGGATTTTATTCATCACCTGCTACACTGTAGTTTTCCACCTGGCAACACAGAAGAAGCAGTTTAGAGCTTTATCTGAGGATTAATCTCATATTTACTGATAAATTCCCCCTAAAAAACTCAAATTATTCCTGCATTTTTTCCATGTAAAATGGCAGATGCCAATCAGCCCGTGACTCACAATATGTGCGAGAACAAACGATTGTCTCCGAGCGTGTCAAGCTGCCAAACACGGCGTGATGGTTTCCACGCTGACGGATTAAAACTCTGCACAGTACACAAAACCTATTGTGTGAGATCCGCTGACCTTTCTCATCTCGGGGAATTTTTTTATCTCTGTTGCTACACGCTGAAGTGTTTCTGTGAAGTGATTGGAGGAAGCAAAGAAGGCCTGGAACTGTAAATAAAAGGGACATTTCATAACTACAAGACGACATCTGATGAATTAACTGCTCCTTTAACTAATATTGCACCTCTAATGAAGGTTTTTCAAGTTGTGTGACACATTGGAACTGTACGATCTCAAATTCAAAGGTTAAAAATTCCTCATTCGCTTCAATGTTATGTTTGAACCGTCTGCTCGCATTTCCAGCCAACTGCACGATAATAACATGTTTTATAACAAAACAGCCTCCGAATGAGGGCTGCGTCCTCGTTAAACGCATCCTGTGATTTGTGCTAATGACGCACTCGGCTAAATGGTATTTTAGAGGGTTCCGCGGCATTTTAACGTCGTGCCGTGAGTCACTCTGCGAGCGGCTTTTCATGCTGCTGTCTCCGTCGGCGAGGGCGACCGGCTTTGTTGTGCAGATGCTGACACGCCCTGAGTCAACCTGTTCATCTGTTCACCTCCGCTCAGGTCACTGGAGCGTGTCGCCACAAAGCTGGAGGTCAGGGACCAATGAAACAGAGTTGGTCTTTATTGTCATGATGTCGGCGGCGACACATAAAGACGAGCCTTGATTGTCTTTGTTTGGGGGGAAATTTATTTTAGTCTTTTTAATTCAGAGTCAAATATGGCTGCCGGCGTGGAACGATATCTGTTAATGAGGTGCTTCTTACAAACACACACGTGTTTAAAGTGGAAGTAGTATTTTTAATTAGCAATTATAGGCAACATCTCCATTTGAAATCTATTTTATAAAACCTATAAATGTGTTGCTAAATGCCATTAAAGCTGCTGTAGCGGCATCATCATGGTGACACAGTAGATCAATCTATTGTCCCATATTAACTGCTGTGAACAAAACCTAGTGCAAACATATTAGAAGTCATCGACATCAATTACATTATTTAAACAGTGGTGACTGACGCTGAGTGAGGTTGTGCAATGAGTTCAAGGTGTTCTCAGCGTTGTTTCACCGCTGGTTGGGTAATATGTGTAATGTAATGTGTAATTGTGTTTCCTAACTGAAGGTATGACACGTGAGCAACACCTCAGTCCTCACAGGGACACTGAAGGGTGTCTCATTGTATCATTTTATATCACATTGTAACATAATGTATCATATTGTATCTGACTGTAGTATATTGTGTCGTGTTATATTGTATCATATCATTTTGTATCTTTTTAATATTGCATCATACTGTATCTTACCGTC